TATAAAAATAACCTAGTAGCGGATACGAACTGACTCCACTGCTGCCGGCACACGCTCAGACTTGCGAACATTGAAGCAAGCCCGTGTCGCTCTACCGGTGCAGCGGGACCAACAGGATTTGGAAGACGGTCGCAGAGTCATCCCAGTGTCTGCTGCACATTTCCCACAGTCTGCACTCGAGCACCGCGCCGAAACGTGCAGGTTGCCCTTCGTAAGAAGGATCCTCTTGTGCAGAGCTTCCCTTCATAAAATTGTTGAAATTCTTAGCTTTGGTTGTCCCAGGAGAAACACAACATTCGCTAAGCGATATTAGAGGTTCAAGTTAATTGTCTCCGGCCCGTGTACTAGATGGAAACTCATGAGTGCATTCTTGATTTTGCATTTTTAAGATTCATATTCTAGCGATTGTTTAGGAGCGCTGGTGGCATGGTGCCTAAGGCATATGAGTGCTAACCAGAAGGTTGGCGGTTCAAGGCCACCAGCCAGCCACTCCTTGGAAGGAAGAATGGACAATCTACTTCCTTAAAGAATTACCGCCTCAGAAACCCAAAGGGGGTCGCTATGAGTCGGAATCAACTCGTTAGCAGTGAGTTTTGAGCCACTGTTTACATGCTGAAGCGTTATGAAACAAGTCATTGCATATTGTGTGCTCTCCGTAGTAGGTTTGGTTTGGCACTACAGCAGAAAAACAGAAATACTTGAAATTGCTGTTTTCACCATTAACTCTTAGTGTTCGCACATTCGGATTTTCAGTAGGTGTCCATCAATTAGACTGAAGTGTTAAAGATTCATGAGTTTGTGAAGACACTTTAAATACGTTTTAAAAAACTCATTAGAAGAAGTTGCTATTAAAAAAATAGGTCATGTTTTATAGAAAAGTTTTGTCCCCCAGTGTGTATAAAATTAAATATTGTAATTTAAAAGTATACATTGATCTTTTTAGTAAAATGATTTATCTTTGGTAGATAACTAATATTAACATTGCTTTCAGCACTTTCTTATGTACATTGTAAATTTCATATATA